TATGTGTTGTTTGCCGTCGAGGGGGGGGGGGGGGGGGGGGGGGGGGGGGGGAAGCAGCATGAAAAATATGACCAGGCGGGTAAGCGCAGTAGAGATCTGAAAGTAACAAACCCCCTTCATTAGTATGTATACAGAACTTAAATTAAATAATAATAAATTTTTTAAAAATATTCTTCATTGTCAGTATGGTTCCATAGTTTTGCCAGAATGACTGCAGATTGAGTGGGTCCCATTATCTTACTCAACAAGCCAAAATGAAACATTGCTCAAAGGTTTTCTGACTGAAGTCCTTAAGATTTTCACAAACACAACTCCAAAAAATACAGTTCATCTACTGAAACCGCTATGTGTTCAAGAAGATCCTAAAAGCAAAAATAATTTTGAAAATCAGAATTGACTTTCTAGAGTATCTATTTATGGACTAAGTACCCATTGTTCTTACAATACTTTAATTCTTTTTTAGAAAATACTTTAAAACACAACAGAGATGGGGGAGTACGATTTCCACAACTCGCTGATTATAATAATATATAAACAGCATTCCAGAAACAGAAATATTGAACACCACACAATACCGGATTCTAGCACGAGAACGATGGAATTAAGAGGAAAAATACCCAAAGGGAAGCAGGTAGATAATTCTGTTGAAGTACATAACTGTACAGGAGAAGAACAAACTCTGCGTTTACTCTTCTGCCAATATTAAAAGACGAAAAAATTACCTTTTAAGTCAAAAGCCTTAGCTGAAAGTTCTGTAAGAAATTAGACAAGTTTATCATCTCTTTGGTATTACTCCTGGGTCCGTGATCAAACTTCTAAGTCAAAACATAAGCTCCACCCTCCACTTCATAAAAATGAATTTTGTTTATAAGCTTTTAGAACTTCTTTCAAGTTGTCTACTGAATATGGTAATCATGTTTCACAGCGGCACAGTTTTACTTATAGAAGAAAAAAACACTGAAGGCTACTAAACACAAAAGCCTTCTCTTCAGCTTAAAAAGATCCTAGAATATAAATCGTTGAAGATCAGAAGAGCATTCTGGATAATTTTTAACCCTGCCATCTCTAAATGCCTTCTATCAACCATTTCAAAGATACGATAATGATCTGTGTGGACTTTGGATTTTAGTGTCCAAGATTAGCTTCATGGTACATCCTCAGTATTAGCTTCAGTGAACTGTTATCTTTGCTTGTTGAGACTCCCTGAACACTACTAACTTATCTAATGACTAAATGCTCAGAAATCGGTCTTCTGAACACATTTCCCACCAGGTGTTTTACATAAATTATTAGACTTTTATTTCTTCAAGAGTATTTTTCAGGTATTTCTTTTTTTTTCTTATTTTCACCGTATCTACTACTTGTCTTGCATAGAAAGCCCACTAGCATTGTTTTTCTTGGCAATGCAAATGCCAGATTCAAGTGACAGCACTAAAAAAGACCAGAGGCAACTAAGTAGCATTACTTATGTTCCTCATGGGAAAATTTTCTTGTTTGTGTACTGAGTAGCTACCTTAAATCTACTCACCGAAGTTCGTTCTATTATAGCAAATGAAACAGTTCCTTATCCGTTCAAAAGTCTATTGTCTGAATTTTTATTTCTATAGGCATAAACATCCAAGTTGTTCCAAACAGGTTATCTGAGCTGACTACTATCTAATCTACACAGTAAGCATACATTTCAGTTAGGCTCATTCTCCATTGGGTTAGGCTTACTCTCAAACCCCCTTAATTTAGCACATGATAGACAAGTTCTAAGTCTGCAACAATATCCCCTTTTAAGATAATGTTACTTTTCTTCCAGTAGTGAGACTATCTGTATTCAGATCTCAAGAAGGACATTTTATCACTTGTTCTATTCTTTCCTGGTAGGTAAAGCAAGGCTTTTCTTCCCCTCTTTCAGCGTGACAAAAACACAAGACATTGCTCAATTTTGTCTGAAATGCAATCTCAGTGTTGCTCAACTAGATTAAATGGGAATTGCACTGTGTTCACATTGAAAATCTGAACTAACTAAGATTTCCAGAAATTGATCGAGGTTTGGTCCGCATTCCTAACTGAACCATATCTTTCTCAAGAAGAGTTCTTTAAAGCTTGGGCAACAAGTTAGGTATCATACACCTTGTGCATGTGTTGTAGCCTAGACTGGATGAGCTACTAGATCTGCTTTCAGTGACACTTAGGAGAATCACTTGTTAAACTGCTACAAGGCTAAGGTGAGCCAATTCAAAAGCATCCCGTCATGGAAACATGCTGCATTCAGTCTTAGTGGAGAAAATCAAAAGCATTACACCCTTTTCCCCATATAATTCTGGCACTACAACTTTTAAGTTTCGCATTAGAACAACCTGTGCACTTCAAAATTTGAAAATATTACCTTTGAAGCTTGCATGAACCTCAGCAAAGCCAGAAATCAGCTTGTGAGCTTCATAAACCAAAAAGGACCCTGTTGAAAGTGCAACCCCCCTTTGAAGGCTTTTTGTAAGCACCTGCATGGGATCATAAGATACATATTAATAAACACTGTCACTCCGAGTTAAAAAAGTTCTTCTCGTCTCTAGCACCAGTTATATTTCAGAATTTGAACAGAGTCTTTTGAAAGTTAAAAAAACCCTCGTTAAGAAAAACATCAGGCGGGCATTTTAAGTTTTTTCAGCAGAGGCTCATAACTACTCTTTGAAATAGGAACAGAGCACTGCGCTGAAAATCAACGACAAATATGGAGCAAACACAAGGTAAGAAGCAAAAAAAAAAAAAAAAAAAAAAAAAGCAAACTTGTGCTCTTCAGACGAGCACGGGGATCCCAGCTTTGGCAAAAATAAACGAGCCCTTGGCTACGTCCGGCCAGGCCGGAGTCTCCGCGGCTGCTCCCCCCGCGCCGGGGAGGCGACCGGCGGGGGCACCCGCCCGCC